AGATCAACAGCACTCAGTATGAAAAATAAGATCCGAATTTTTAACTCCAATGTGAAGTCAGTGCTACTTGCTATACGGATCAGAGACTTGGCGTGTCACGAAAATCACTTCTAACAAACTGCAGACCTTCATCAACAGCTGTCTTCGCTCAATACTACTCAAGATCAGATGGCCGGCCAGAAAAAATCAGCAACATGGATCTCTGGGAGCGGACCAACCAGGAAGCAATTGTCGTCTGTGCGATGGAGGAGGTGATGCGAAGAGGAGATGAAAGCAGGTGGAAACGTTGGCAGAGAACCGAAGACAATGGAGACGTGGGGCTGAATCCCTATGTTCCTCTAGGAACTAAAGGAGACAATAATAATAACATACTCTATTCGAATCCCCGGGAAACCAAGATGTAAGGTGTTGGGAAATTCGTCGATGAATCTCTTATTTTCACCGCCCTCCCTCAATCCCTTCCTCCTATATACCTAAAACTGATCATTCTTATGTGACTAAAATAACTGCATGATTCGTACAATTTCCTTGTATATTGGTGTAAAGCTGATGATAAGGAACTCATTGAAGTGAAGAAATGCATATTTCTTCCCTCAATTTTTGTGGTTTTTTCTAAATGTGTAAATCGGAATTTTCATCTATCAATGTATTTACACAACTGCTTGATTTGCTTTGCCAAGCCTTATACACCTCGCTTGGTTTGCATAACAATTTTCTATATATCCGGGAAAAGGTATTGCGTCATTTTGAAGTTGTGTGCTTATAATTGATCGTTATGATTATGAACAATGATGAATTGTGCTCGAAACTTTGTCATCCAGTAAATAGCAATACTGTTTCACACTGTGTGTGTGATATATCTAATAAACAAATTAATATGGAATCCACCCTACTATGTTACTTTTTTATACTGTCACCCTGTCCCCCTCACCCTGCTGTGTGGTTACATGCTGATGAATATATATATTGTGGTGTCAGAGCTTTTTTGTAGCCTGTTCAAATTAACAAGGTCAGTCATTCTATATGCAGCTGAATTTCTACATCCCGGTATTGTAATTGACCCCGATGTACTAGTTTGACTGACCTTACAGTGTCATCATTACATGGTATTTGGTGAATTATATTATTCTTCATAATTGGATCTATCATGGCCTTATACCGACAGAGTTTGTCTCTGAATGAGCTAGTTGGTTTAAATGCCGCTCTAATCAATTCCAGATTTATTAAGAATCCTACGTAGGGCTTTTGATGTTTCTTCTCTGTACTGGTAACACTATCGTGGATTTGAATTTCATACATTTATTCCCTTTTTATGAATTTGAATAAAGTAAGAACACAACAGGTTTTGCAGAATAACAAGATGGTACACCATCATTGTTTGTTTCGTTCGTCTGCTTCTCATCAGCTGCTGCTCACAGCCCAAAGACATTGATAAGTTTATGTACCGAACCAGTTTTAAAATACTTGCACAGAGAGTTCATTTTTAAACAAAAATCAATCAATAAATATGTGCATACAATGCTAATAATAATAATAATAATAAACATTTTATCTCAAACAATAATAATCATACACAATGGTATCTTTTGGCGTTACGTAATCAGATGAAAGGAGGGATGAAAACATTCAGCTAACAGGTCACATAAATTGGGTTTCGGGCGTTTGATTGAAATTGCTGCTTCGATGAACTCGAGGAGAATCGACCTTTCTTCTCTATTTATAATTTTAGAAAATTTTGCGATGTCCACTTCATGACCTGTATCAAGGAGATGTCTGGTGATGGCACTGTTCAACCATTTGTTTCCTTTAGACATAGACTTTTTGGTACATGTTCAGAAAATTGGAGGTGTGACCTTCTGTCTTTTCTGCCAATGTATTGTTGATATGTCTGTCTGTCTGGATTCAACGTAGAACTTGACGCCGAAGTGCAGAAGTTCGAGTTGCCACGTTCCAAATAACACACAAAGGTAGACAGGAAAATGAGTGAAGAGAATCAATAGAGTTTTGACAAGTATAAGAGTGAAAGAGAATGAGTAATGGTAGAAAGGAATATGAAAGATTACAGAAACTGAATACATCTGCGTAAGCCATTGACAACGAACGATTTTCAGCCATGTCACCTATCGTCTCTAGCCATTGATTCTTAGAGTCCCGAGGGTGGGCCCCAACCCGGAAGTCTGCATCTCTCTCCCTACCTGACTCAGTTTAACTGACACATTTATAGTGTGCAACAATGAAAGTCATGTTCCCTTCCTACTCAGGTTATTCAACGACACATATACCAATATTGAATTTATTATGGAACATTAAAAATGATGGAAAGTTCCATTTCCTTCACATTGTCATGCAGAGCCTACAAGATGGTAGTCTCCAGAGGTGAATTTACCGAAAGCTGACATGGAACGGACAATACTTACATTTTATTAGTTTTTATCCAAACAGCTGTAAACGAGCACTAGTCAAGACTCTGTATTAGAGAGCGAGGAGAATATGCTCTGCAGAGAATTTAGAAGAAGAATTTAATATTCTCGAAAAGGTGTTGAAAAACAACAGTTATCATCAAGGATTCATTAACAAATTTGGAAGATGTGAAGGCTCAAACATCAAACAAATCTTAGTTGAAAAAAAGCCTGTCATCATTCAACTAGATTTTAAAGGTGAAAACATTGCAGCAATGGTCAACAGAAGACTGAGTATGTCACTAGCCAGAGCCTATCATGCAGTTAAGTTGGTTCCCGTCTATCGAACAACATGCTCTCTGGTGCAGTCAAAAGTCGACAGACAGCCTTCTCATGTTAACTCCAACTGTGTATACAAATTTACGTGTATTTGCGGGAGCAGTTACATTGGGAGAACAGAAAGAAGGGCAAACCTCCAATTCTCTGAACATGTGCCGAAAAGCATAGGCCTCAAGGGAACAAACGCCAAACAATAGTGCCATTATCAGGAATCCTCTTGATACGGGTCATGAGGTGGATGTCACAAGATCTTTCGAAATTATTAATAGGCAAAAGAGTTCAATTCTCCTTAAATTTGCCGAAGAGATCCCTATCAACCGCCTGAAACGTGACTTATGTGTTCAGAAAGAAGCAGTTATCAGTCTTTCCTTGCTCTGGTAACTGGATGCTTTCATCCTCTCTTTCATCTGACTACGTAACACTGAGGGATTCCATTATGTATGATTATTATTGTTTGTGATAAAGTGTTTATTATATTTTATTATTGTATGCATATATTGATTGATTGATTTTTGTTTAAAAATGAACTCTGTGTGCAAGTATGTTAAAACTTAATGATAATAAATTTAGACTGTAAGCATCAGCTGATGAGAGAGAAGCCGACGAATGAAATAAACAGTGATTGTACCATCTTCTTATTCTGCAAAAAACTTCTGTTGTGTACTTGCTTTATTTCGAATTTCACTTTTCATTACTTTTTTATTCTCTGTATGGATTGTTATACCTTTTTAAATAAATAATACTGGTTGGATGGTTATTTAAGTCGAAAGATCTGAATAACGAAATTAAACTAATAAAGAAAGTATATTACCAATAAATAACTGACTACCCGCCTATTTTATTCAGACGTAAATAGCGAAATCTGAATGTAAAGCCGATGTTGTGGAACTAGAAAATGCATTGATTTCTTCGCTCAATTCGACGTTTTGTTTTTCTAAATGCGTAAATGGTAGTTTTGAAATTACTGTGTAAATTTAAAGTATCTCAGTTCACCTTACTAGATATAAACAATGGCTTCCTTTTCATGCGTATAGCTGTATCCTTGAGTATGCATGACAGAATTTCATGTTGTCGCTAATCTTGGTAGCTTACCTGCTTTTGATGCATGCAGTAGTTATCCTGTTTTTTTCAGTACAAGAAATTATTTAACTATACGTTCTTATGATAATTTCTTTCAAGTGTTCAGCTTTTTAAAAAAGAAATTAGCGATTACATCATCATGTTTTAACTGCCTTCAAATTCGTTTGTGTTCTGAGTAGAGCATGATCCTTCAAGCTCTGCCAGTATCAGTAGCGGGGATGTTGATAGCGTCACACCCAACCTTCATAATTTCTGTCCTTACCTATGAGTTTGTTAACTCGGAGAGGTTTAGTTGTACGATGGTCTGGGGTAATTGATCTCGGACCATGTGTTTGGTTGGTGCTCATCTATCCTTCCATTGAACCACCGACTCACTTTGTATGGTCTTAATATTTATGAATTGAAGTGGCGAGATGCCTCATTGGCTGTTATCTATTTCGAATCTTGCTGTGTCTACTTTAGCCTGGGCTAGTGTGAATAGAATCATTAGACCTCTCATGATGTATAAATAGTTTACAGCCTGGTGTATAAAAAAATCTCCTCTGGGCAAATATATCCACAAAGTCTCTCACATAATGTATTTTAATCAACAATGCGTTTGTTATGTTAGATAACATAACATATAAATCAGAATCGTTTGGAAAAAATCGTCAGATTCCGAAATACCCACATACATCTTTTGTCCTGTGATGTCACATTTCGATTGTGCCTAAGACTATCTATAAATATGTCGATGTGAGCATGGGATGTATCTCTTGAATATCACATGGATAAACTCCAGTTCTGCAGCATATGGTAAAATCACAACAGCAACAAAAAAACAATTGGTATAATCCCTAAACGTCGCTGAATGTCATAACACATATCTCTGTCAGTTATTCTGCTCAATAATCACTTGCATTTACATGGCGTTGGCGTTGAGCCACACCTTTTATGCGGGGGCTGATTAAACCGTGTTAGATCAAGTCGGAGGTTGGAACCCGCCCCACACAGTGGTTAAAATTCGGGCACTTGAATCGACGAATCACAGCTATGCAAGAGTGCTCCCACGCAAGGGGTTGAACCTAGCTAGCTAGACCTCTTCAATGAACGCCAGGAATCCTTCAGTTATTTTCTTCACTAGATTTAAATCTTCGTTATTTTCTCCTTACTGTTTTTTCTTTTCTCTCTCTATCTTTTCAGCTTGGAATGGTCACATTATCGTTATTTCGTACAATATTAAGCTTTCACTGTGAAGATGTTATGTATGAATTAATATTTAAGTAAGTTATTTTGTGTATTTTGTCGTTGTTGACATGCTGTTTTTGCTTTGCTACTTACTCTCTCCTTCCCACTTCTTTTACCTCTCTTGCTGTCTCTCTCCTGCTCCATAGACTAACTTGGTGTTTGATGTGATTGAGTGGACTATGGTGTGGGCATAATGAGTATTATTATTATTGATTTCTTTGATTCCGAGTGCGACACATAGGGCTTCAGAAGCAAATCTTTGCTACACTCAATACCCTCTGCTATGTGCTTAGATTGGTTCTATGATTGCTCATCAACGTTCATCTCCTGCTCATACAATCTCCTCTATGTGTCACACTCGAACACTCAACTCATCGTTTCTCCTTAGGGTTTCACCTGGTTATTATAATATTATTACTGTTCCCTTGGGTTCCTAGTGGAACATAGAGCTTCAACTGCACGTCTCCACTTGCTTCTGTCTTCTGCCGTACTTTTCACTTGCATCCATGTTAGTCCATACTGTTTCAACTCCTCTTCACACGATCTCCTCCATGTCACCCTTGGACGTCCCACTCGCCGCTTCCCTTTCGGGTTCCACTCGAGGGCTTGACGCGCGATGTCACTCAACGGCCTCCTCAGCTAGTGAGTGTCCAATCCATCTCCACTTTCTTCTGCATATTTGTTGAGCGATTGGTTCCTGTTTCGTTTGTTCCCATAGCTTCTTGTTTGTGATTCTTTCTGGCCATCTAATCTTCAGTATGGAGCGAAGACAGTTGTTGATAAAGGTCTGCAACAGGCTGTTGGAAATATTCTTTGTGACCCGCTGCCAAGTTTCTGATCCATCCGTATAGAAGAACTGACTGACTTGACGTTTGTATTGAAAATCTGAATTTTGTTGTTGATGGTGAGTGACGAAGATTTCCAGATTGGTTTCAGGTTGATGAATGTGTTTCTCGCCTTCCCGATTCTCGATTTGACATCCTCGTCCGTTCCTCCTGTGGTTGAGACAATGCTCCCTAGATAAGTGAATGAAGTAACCTCTTTCAAATCCCTCCCGTTGATGGTGATTGGCTCTGGATGTTGTTGCTGCTGCCGCTGTTGTTGTTGGTTGGTCATTTTCATAACCTCCGTCTTGTCTATGTTCACCTGGAGTTCTGTCTTTGCTGCTTCTTCGACCAACCAGTTTGTCGGTTTTCGCTTGTGAGTCTTCGTTTTTGTGTGACATCAAACTTAAGTCATCCGCGAAATCCAGGTCTTCTAGATTCTTCACGTTGGTCCAGTTTCACCTGAGGTCCTGCTTAATTTCTCTCAGTAGTCTCTTCAGCGTATAATCCAGTTAGTGTATCTTCATTTCCTTCTGCATACATGTTGCATGTTAGTTTCTTGGTTGGTTCGTCGCCGCCTCCCAGAGTTCCTTATTGCTTTTCCTTTCTCATCACAGTGAAAGTAGCTGTTGATAAAGGTCTGCATTAGGCCGTTGAATGTGCTTTCGATGGCGCACGCACCAATTCTCTGGACCATATATGAGTTACTGACGTGAATTTGGTTCTGATAATACGAATCTGGTTTCTTATTTTGAGGGCAGCAGGCTTCCATATTGATTTGAAAGTGATGAAGTTTTGTCTTTGAATTTCCTATCCAAACTGGTTTTGACATTGTTATCTGTGTGCAGCCGCCTGTGTGGATGAAACTATGTTGCCTAGAATATCAGTGAACCTGATGACTTCCTTAAGATTTCTCCCACTGATGGTAATTGGCGCTTGTCGTTGTTGTTGTTGGTTGGGTATCCTTATCATCTTTATCTTTTCTGTGTTCACTTGAAATGCTGTCTTTGCTGTCTGCCTCTCCCGTCAAATTTTTAGTTTTACGCCTTCAAAATCTTCAAGTTTGTGTGACATTAGATATAAATCACTGGCGAAGTTCAAGTCTTCTCAAGTCTACTTGTCGGCCTCACTTATACCTTTTATCTCGCTTCCCATGGCCTGTCGTGTAATCCAATCCACCACACTAAGGAAGATCGTCGGTGACAGTGGACAGATAGTCTTGTCCTACTCCTTTCTTCTATTCCAAAGTTTCACTGAATTTTCCGTTGTGAATCATTTGAAATGTGGCATCACCACATAGCAGTTGTCATTTATGGTCCCAAGCGGATCACATATGCTGTGATCTGATTAATCCTTGTTTCCAAAGGAAACTGTCCTTAAGCCTCACAAAGAACTGTGTATATTGCAAATCACGTATTTCATCCATTGATTTTTGCCTTTTTCAATCAATTGTTATTACCTATAAGTTGTGTGGCGTGTTCTACTGATATGATTTATCAGTAGTATGCATATAAAGAGACCGAAACGAGTTAATTACTTAGATACTGATATTGAATTTGAAAACCTATTTAGTCAAACAAGGGATCTAGCTCCATCATCCACCTTCGAACTAGAACGCTTCAAATCCAGTCTAGTGGAGTGTTGTTACCAGTACAAAAACCTCAAATGCGACAGTAAAAGTTTCTTGACAAAGGAACACAGAGAAGAACTAAAAAGACTGATAAATGATGAGAGACTGATAATCACAAAGCCGGATAAAGGGTCAGGAGTAGTCCTTCTTGATAGAAATGACTATATTAAAAAGATGAAGGATATATTGAAGGATACACAGAAGTTTCAAAAACTTGAGGAGAAGAAAGATTTCAATAACAAAGTAGAGAATGAATTAACCAGACGTTTGAAGAAACTAAGGGAGGAGCAGATAGTTTCTGAAAGTTTATATGAAGAAATCAGACCGACGGGCACGTATATGCCAAGATTGTATGGCCTACCTAAAGTGCATAAACCAGGGGTACCGTTAAGACCAATACTTGATATGCAAAATTCGCCCTACCATGCTCTAGCTAGATGGTTAGTTAATATTCTCAAACCATTGCATGAGAAGATAGTGAAATATAGCGTCAAAGATGTATTCGAATTCGTAGACAAAATAAAAGATATTAATATCAAGGAAAAAACCATGATATCTTTGGACATAACATCGTTATTCACGAATGTACCTCTAATAGAAACAGTTAATTATATATGTGAACAAGTGGACAAGCACTCGATAAACATTGGAATCCATACTGAAATCCTAAAAGAATTGATATTAAGATGTACCATGAATGTAAACTTCAAATTTGACGGCACGCTTTACAGGCAAGTGGACGGGGTGGCAATGGGCTCCCCATTAGGTCCAATTCTGGCTGATTTCTTTCTAAGTAAGCTAGAAAATGGACCTCTGAACAACCTTATCAGAAAGTTCTCATTTTATTGCCGATATATGGATGACACCTTTATTCTTTGTGATAATAATTCCGATAGGACTACAATAGTTACTGAATTCAATGAAGTACATCCGGCTATGAAATTCACATGCGAGGAGGAATCCCAAGACAGAATTGCCTTCCTCGATGTCCTACTTACAAGAAAGCCAGACGGAAGCATAAAAAGAAATTTACATAGAAAAAGTACTTGGACGGGACAATATACACACTTTCATAGCTTCGTTCCCATCAAATACAAAAGGAATTTGGTGAAGACCCTTAGCCACAGAGTTAGAGCTATATGCTCTGAGGAAGTAATTAAAGATGAATTAGACATTGTATATGATACTTTAGTTGAAAATGGTTATCCTGACAAGTTTATCAAGAAACATATGACGAAGAAGGCCGAAAAGGACGACCCACTATCTGTAAAGAAGAAGCCCCTTTATATACGACTACAATTCAAGGGCGATAAACCAAGTGAGTTAATTACAAAGAAATTAAGAAAAGCAGTTCAAAGGACTTTTAATGCTGGCGAACTACACATCTTATTCTCTACAAGACCGATGGTGCTACCTCGACTGAAAGATGAAGTACCTAGACTGGCCACTTCAAATTGTATTTATCAATTCAACTGCGCTTGTGGAGCGAGTTATGTTGGCCGTTGCTCTAGGAACTTGATTTTTCGTGCTCGAGAACATATCCCACTATGGCTAAGCAAAGGTGTAGTTAAAAGTATTAACAGCTCGATATTAGACCATCTGGTGCAAACCGGTCACAAAGCCAGCGTAGACGAATCCTTCTCCATAATATACCGGGTGCCCAACAAACTACCAAAATCCTCGAAGCACCGCTTACTCCAAACAGCAGAGGCTATTGCAATTCGCCTCAAACAACCAGCGCTCTGTGTCCAAAAGAAACAAGTCCAGCCCCTACTACTGCCCTGGCCCTCAGTAGAGACTATAAACTCATGAATTTGTACCATTACCTTTCCTAATTCTTCTGACATTCAGTTTATTTGATGTTGATGCTGTTCAGCTGTAATTTATCAATATTATTGATTTGATGTTATTTAAACATTAATGTCGTTCATAAGACTAATTCATTCATTCATTATAATGTATATATAATTGTAGAACCTGATGATGAATTTATCGAAAAGAGTTCTCTTTGTTCAGTGTCTATTCTTTTGAAAATTTTAATGGGCATTTTTAATCAATCAATAAAAACATCAATTAGCTGGGAGATAGTAACTAGTGTGATATGTCTAGTCCTTTCTTTGGTGCAGACTGAATTCTATCAGTCGGGTTTGCAATGTGGCCGCTGCTATTCTAGGTAGTTCGCCATCACGGTGCACATTGATTTGATGATATTAGATAGTTGGAGGCAATGGGCCACAGGAAGCCTGGCTCGACCTCGGTTTCGTGCTATCTGACACTCATCAGTCAACCAGCAAGGCGTATCTGGAACCTTGAAGGAACTCATGTCCCTTCTGAGATTCTAACCTGTGTCACTTAGTGCTGGCTGCAGTCAGAGACGTTGAGGTCCTTCAGTTCACTAGAAACTCAATGGTTGCATAATATATGTCGTTGTAATGATAATTGAATCCCGTCAAATTTTCATTGCAACTCTCGACCAAAAGTTAACCATCCATTGCTTACCAGATTGAATAATAAAATAGCTCCAGATCCTTCAGGAGGTGAATCGCCAGCCTGCCCGAATAGCTCAGTGGTAGCCTCTTTG